CTGAAGAACACTGAGCTCTTGAACATTGAATTGTCATGTTCATGAAACCAGGTCGAGATGACTTTTGCTTTGTGATATGGTGCATTGTCATGCTGGAAGTAGCCATTAGAAGATGGGTAAATTGTGGCCATGAAGGGAGGCACATGTTCAGCAACAATACTCAAAATAGGCTATGGCATTCAAGCAATGATTGATTGGTAAGAACAGGCCCAATGTGTGCCAAGAAAACATTCCCCACAAGACCTCCACCAGCCTGGACTTTTGCCACAAAGCAGGTTGGGTCCATGGATTCATGCTGTTGGTGCCAAATTCTGTGTGCCTCAGCAGAAATCAAGATTCATCAGACCAGGCCACGTTTTTTCCAGTCTTCAGTTGTTCAGTTTTGGTGAGCCTGTGCCCACTGCAACCTCAGCTTTCTGTTTTTGGCTGACAGAAATGAGACCCAGCATGGTCTTCTGGGCTGTTGTAGCCCATCCGCCTCAAGGTTTGATATATTTTTGCATTCTGAGATGCTTTTCTGCTCACCACAATTGTACAGAGTGGTTATCTGACTTACTGTAGCCTTTTGGTCAGCTCAAACCAGTCTGGCCATTAGTTGGTCAGAAATATGGCGACCAGAGATGCAGTATTGATCTCAGAGCTCTGAGTACCATTGCTCAGTTCTGATCCAATACTCGCATCCTCACAGTAATCGAGCTGAATCCCTGCACGCTTCTGTTGATGAGTTTTTCAAGACATCAGAGGCATGATTACCATGTCATCCATGATGGTGACAGAAAATATACAAAAACCTTTTTCAAGCCCATGTCGAAATCAAGCAGCCGGTGCTATTAAACAAATAAATACATACATACATAACTGAAATATAATAGAAGATAAAAAAAATCAAAGCCGTCAGTATTTATTGAATAATATGCAGTGTTTCTTTTTTGTGTTGTTCGACCAAGATATACAGAACAGAGTTGACAGCATGTCAAAAAGTGCTTCCCGCAAAGCCATAATACATGGTGTGTTTGGTTGTTTCGCTTGGGAATTTAGGGCTGAATCACTAGAGTTCTCTTTGAAGTGGACTAAGACCAGATCTCGCATGTCTTAGGTCTCGAATTGTTTGTTTTAACACGCAGTACCGAGAGATGAAACCACGCTTTATTCAGACTGCATATGTGAAAGTGAATGAAAGTTGCATTGTAACTGAGTTTTGGGTAAACAGGACAAAATAATTGCGCTTACAGTACAAATGTGGTGGAAAGAAATTAATTTTTGTCTTCCATAACATTTATAAGTTGCTGTAGATCCCTGCTGTGTCTCCAGCTGTAGTGACTGGTTTAACAGTAGGGCTGTGGGTTTAAATTGAGCTTCTGTAGACATCCAGAGCTGCTGCTGTCTCTTGAGTGAGCGTCGCATCTCAGCTACAGACTGCAGCGAACTAGAAAAAAGCTTTCAATTGCAATCATTGACTTCCTGGTGTGCTATTAATTAATAAAGATGCACTGTGGCGAGAGATGTGCTTCGGGGTAGAGCTATGCACGGGAATGTTTTTTTTAAGCCCACTGCAACAGAAACTCTGACCGTGCCAGCCAACTCCTGCAGTTATTTCCGTTCCTACCCCCCTGTAATATTGTCTAATGATCTCAGTTGATCCAGTTCTTTGCAAATATCAACAAATAAGTCATCACTGTTAAGGGTTTTTTTTTTGTAGCTAACTCCAGAAACAGAACAATTGATTTGAATTGCAGCATTTAGGCTACACTGAGGATTGAAGAGGTCCTACTCGCTGGACATCTATGCATAAAAATATTAGAAGAATCACATTTAATATCAATCTGTGGTTTGCCTTACGCCTTGAATCAACACCTTCTGACCAATCAGAATCAATACACACCTCTATGTATTTAATTGATTCCCATGCTTGTGCAGAGCATGTTGCTTTGTGTTATTTGGGAAGTGAGGTGAATGCCAATAAAGAGAAGCTTTACTATATTGTTTAAGCAGAAATGAAATTAGCCATAGAGAGTAATTATCAGTTGAATATATTTTCAACACTCAACTTAATTTCAGTGTTATCCAATGATGTGTCTCCCCCGCTGGATACTCCAGTGCCTCTACTGCCCCTCTGACTTTAAATCCCGTCTCTGTTTGTGCACAGTTAAATGTGTGGCTGTGTCCGTTACTGCACTGACCTGGAGCTGAGAGATTGCTACCCACCCTGTCCTCTGAGAAAAGCAAACCTCCAGCACTTTCTTCCTGGAGCACCCTCTCTCTCCCCCTGACAGCCCACGGGATAGATGAGCCTAGGAGGTGAGTGTCTACTGTGGCCAGCACACAAGGAGCACGTTTGTGCATTTTAAATCTTATCTTTCGCTTCTCTTTCCCATCAAAGTCTGATTGATTTTGTGCATCCAGCCAGAATGACAGCATGAGTGCTGTAGCAAAGATATATTTCCAGAATTGTGGACAGGACTGAAATGTTTAATATTTTAGAAAAGAAATCTAAAATCAAGATTAAATCA